AAAATCAAAATAAAAAATCAAAAACAAAATCAAAGCCAAAAATCAAAATCAAAAATCAAAAGCAAAAATGAAAACCAAAAATCAAAACCAAAAATCAAAACCAAAAATCAAAAGCAAAAATCAAAACCAAAAATTAAAACCAAAAATCAAAAGCAAAAATCAAAACCAAAAATCAAAAGCAAAAATCAAAACCAAAAATGGCCTCCACACAGCACTTTCAAATGAATATCGAAGTGCTGAAAATAAACAATCTTGTTATTTAACAATTCAACAAAAATACTCAAACAAAAACAAAATGAAATTTAGATAAGAACTAATTTACCGCTAAAGGAGAGAACATATTTAAGTATCTACTTGAGTGGTGGATTTAGGATTTTCTCGAGAGAATGAAGAGGGGTTCAAAAAAGTTTCAAAAGCTTTGAAAAACTTTTTTTTGAACGACCAAACTGGTTTTCCAATTTTTCTTATGATATAACAAAGATACTTTTGGGAATTTTGGGAAGGTTTTACCCAAAAACTTTCATATAAGAATTTTTCTACGGTTGGTCCGTAACTTATCCGTAACACATTTTTGTAACTTTTGTAAAAAAAAGTTTCAAAAAACGAGTTTCAATTACCAATTTCACTCAATTTCAATAGCTGATTTTCTTTTTTTTACAAACCAATAGTGAAATAACCAGTTTGACAAGAAGAGTAGATTTTTCCGCTGAGAATTTTACATTTCTCTTAAAAATACCGTATTGTGGAAATGCATCGAATAGTCTCCTCTAAGCACGTTTTCATTCTATTTAACGGCTGCAGAGTTTCTCTTCATTATAATGTGTTATAGCGGCGGACACTATTATAAAAAAATTCCACAACCCCAAAAAATTAAAATGGCGGTCAGATCAGACCGTACCGGTGATCGAAGGTTACGCAAAGAACCTTTTAGTTTGTGCTATTTTCGACTCTCCTCTTGCGTTTCTCGCTAGTCCACAAATCCTAGACATGATAAGTACACCACTAGTAAACTACTTCTATAACCAATTCCTTGTTTCGTTCTGCTCAGCCATTGTTTCGCTAACTTACTGGTCATTTAACTTGGTTGACTCAATTCCAATTCGCCAATTTCAACAGTGCAATTCGCCTGCCAACTAATCCGACCGACACTAATTTCGAATTTAACTAAACGTACTGTTAGATACAATTGGCATCGCTTCAAGGAAAAGCGTTCTCCACAGACTTACTATTCTTCTCCTGTTTACTCAATCATTCACTTTAGTAAACAACCGTTTGCTCTCTCAGCGTAATTGTTTGACCTCTTGGAGGCTCCCCGGTAACTCCATGGTCAAAATCACGACATTTATTTTCCTTCCTGGCATCGGTTGGTTTCATTCCTACTCCAATGTTTTATTAGTCCATCCCTCACCCTGTCAAGACTGTCAAGTACCAAGTTAGGGTGCTTCAATCAATTTCGTCCCGCTTATTAGATAAAAGTACTCGATAGTTTTCACATTTTGACCCAAGCAAGCAAATGTGATACGTACTTACTCAATTAATTTATGGCCTGCACGAAATCTTGCCCCCCCCCCGAGGTCAACTCAACCTCCAATCCATTAAAACTTTACTCAGTGAGCCTCAAAATCTTTAATTCAATTAGCCCGTAAATGTTTCCGTTGCCTGGGGCCGATGCAGCACACTTTCGTGGGCGAAAATTGATGTATATATGCCTAATTAATTCCAAATTATATCCTATTCCAATCACAGCATTCTAGCTTTTAAGGGCATGCTTCCCCCCTCCGCCTTGGATGTTCCCTCGGATCAATAAATCGCATACCGGAAGCTAGCAGATTATCCTGACCCTTCGTATAGTTTGGGTTCATTAACTCCCACTCTCTTCGTTTATATAAGCTAACCATTCTGCGGCTAATTTTCTACGTTCTGGTCATAAATCTATCAATGGCGCAACCGCCAAGCTAAATTGAATCTATTGTTTACCAATTGCACTTGAATAAGTTCCACTACTCTAACACTACAGACGATGAACAAAATGTTTTTATAGGCCCCTATACTTCTGATGTACCCCCTACAGGAATTTTTTTACACCCTTGATCACTAAAGAATCACATTCCATTTCAAGTGATTACTAATAAAAATTTTATCAATTTCATTGTTAATTTTACGGGTTTCTAGGCAGTTTGGGGTCATAATGCCCAAAGGTCAGAATAGCTGATGAATCCATGTCCAACTAAAACTTCACAGGTTTTCCATTTCAAGTGTTCATGATCAAATTTTCCGGGAATTGGTTATTATCTCGGGAAAGTGACACCAATGGAAGTTATTTTACGAGGTTTTTTTCGGGACTTGGGTCTAATATAGATAACTGTCAAAAAGTCGTTACGCGCTTGCCCATTCTTTTGCCTAAATTGCCCTTTTCGGGTCTAAAGGGGTGGTCCTTCCCTGTGCTAGTACTTTCCGATCCAACCGTTGGAAATGTATAACACATGCTCTATCTTAACATTGCCTATAAGTCTCTACGTGTCAGCTTTCTACCATTACCTGGGTTCGAGAATTAATTTCAAGAATAAGAAGTTGAGTCCATTTACTAAGGGTATAAAATAACTTAGGGATTCACGGAGTCTGAGATTCCATACTAGAGCACATTTTGCCTAGTTCTACCATATACTAGAGTTTGAGCCCAATACTGCTTCTACACACCGAGATCTCATAAGGCATTTTGCATTTCCGCGAACCGTTATCGTTTGGGCACAGGAGGTGCGAGGGGCTCGGGTTTTTGCTTGCCCGTGTCAAATCATCTCAAGTATCCTTTCTAGCTTTGTTTGTTCCGATTTGGTGATGGATGGTCATCCAGTTTTGTTCCATCCTTACGTTTTGGCCTGGTTAATTTTGAAAGGACTCGAACTATTTTTAGCTTGAAGTTTCGTTTGCTTTACTTTTTAACTTACTTTTAAGTGAATACCAAGCTACGAAGATACGTCATTAGCTTTAAAGTTACTGCATACAATTTCCAAGGTAATATTTTTTAGGTCGAATTTCTTAATTTGCCGAATTTGTGTTAGAAATATCGATTCTACACGTGTGGAACAAATTTTTTAACAAAAAAATTAAAAGTTGGAAACTAAAGTGTTTCAATAACTCTAAGGTTTTTTATACCTAAGCTATAGAGAAAAGTTCAACTGAATTGGTTTTCATTTTTATGCTCCCTTTTATTTTTGTAAAAAGTATTTCTATTTTAGAGTTTATAGAACAGAAGTTGTAAGAACAATGAAGCAAAATTTTTGGGTTCTCGAAAAAATATTTTAAGCGCTGATTTAATTGAACCCACTAGCCTCAAAAACGATTGTTTCACCCATGCCAAAAGTTTCAGCCATTGATAAGAAATGTAAAATAAAAGGAACTATCTTACAAAACCTATGAAAATTTCTTCGACAGGCCAATTTTTTGATGGTGGCTAACCTAAATGAAACATATGGGAGTGATGAAAGTTAAAGGCGGACTGTATGAAAGCGACATAATTCATCGGATGAAGAAAAATAGATTTGGCACGGCAAAATGGTATACTTTTAAAAACGTGCTCTGAATAAATCAAAAATATTATAAAGGCTGGAGTAAAAATATGATATTCTGCAAAGTTTTTTTGGGATGAAGTGGAATATCAGGGTTTTTTTTTGAAAGTTTGATACGAAAAGTTGACAACTTTTTGTTAAATTAGTTTTAATATCTGGTAGGTTTTGACTTAAAGAATTAAGAAAAGCTTAATATGAATTTACTTTCGTTAAAATGTTTAGAAATAAAATGCGTAGACTATATCAGTTGTCTCTTGTTACTTATGGTATTTTTATTTGTATTCTTAAATATTTCAGAATCAACTAGACAATATTTACGCCAAAAACTTTACCAGGTCGGAATTTGTTCCAATGGAGAGGTGATAATGTGTCCAGTTGAATAGCTAAATAACAGATTAGTCTTGAACCGCCAAACTTCCTCAAATATGAAAAAGTATTTTAGGATCGACTAGACAAAATTGACGCCTCAAAGTAGTATCAGATCGGAGTTTACCCCAATTTAGAGATACTAATACCACCCTTAGAATATTTAAATAACAGATTAATTGTGAACCACCGAATTTTCCGAAAAATGAAAAAGATTTACACTATGCTATCACAAAGGATTTTTTTTTGCCAATTACAAATTTTTTTGATGAGCAATTTTCGGTGAGTAGTACTCAGGTAGACATCCAGATTTATGGTCACCTCTCAGCACCCCCAATAGACCCCTTTTGGTGCTATTTTGGGACCATAAAACGTTTATGAAGGAGCTTTAGGCGCCAAAACACTAATTTTCAAGGTGAGAGTAAGCCAACATAACTTTGAAAAAAGAGTCCAAAAACGGCTTTTAAAATAAATTGGCTCTTTTCAAATAATTGACGACAGTGTGAAACTTTAAAAATCTGCCCCTACCCTCGAGAAAAACATAAATCCACACATGGAGACAATGTGTTTTACAAGTTTTATGATTTAGGTCAATACAGGTTTAAGTTGAGATAAGGTTTGTGACGCAATATATGATTGGTAACTTCTTTTGCCTTGCGTCGTCTATTTTTCATTGTTCCGACCATTTGAAAACTGGGGAAAAACTTTGTATTTTGGGTGTGTTTTAATTTTATTATATTAAGACCCTTACAATCGTGATTCGAGCGACATTTAAAAAATTTAAAAAAAATTCCATTGTCGAGAAAAATCGGTATGAAATATTTGGTTTTTGCCTGAATTCGAGCGAATAAAACGAACGAGAGAGCAGGCTTACAATAGCTTATTTTAGTGGCTTAAAAGCTCATAATAGGTTAGTTTAAACGTTAAAAATTATTTTTTCTCGAATAACGTTAGTTTTTATAAAAATTTTAGCGCCTTTTTGGAATCAAAACCTTCAAAAAATCAAAAACTGCAAACAAAATTGTTTTCTAGTCAATTTACTACACAAATTGTTTCAAATATACTTACTTTACTTTGACTGTCAAGTACGCCTATTCTCCAATTATTCTTCAGCTCTTTTCGTCACGCCTAGTGGCTATTGGATGTGCTGTTGGAAATGTTTGGAAAAACGATCATATCACAACTGACAAGACTCTAAGACGCAAGAAAATTCAAATACAAGGGCCGCGAATCTGCTGTGCTTCAAAAAGCAATTAGTAGAAACATCACGATGTGAAGGGCCAGCAACATGAAGAGATAAACACACCAGCAAATGTTCAGAGAGGCTTTTGAACAGCTGTAGACAGTGTTGAAATGTTACAAATTTGTTTAGTTTGAAGACTTTTCATCTGGATTCAAACGCAAAACTTCAAACAAGACTGCTAGTTTCAAATTGATGTAACTTTTAAGTTGAGTTAGCAGCGATGTTGGAGGGTTGATGATAACACAAGTTAAATTGAAAGTTTGATTGGATAAAATAACTATTAGTCTGAAACGCAAAAAAAATCAATTCAAACGACAAAAGAATGTCGCATTTTTTCCAGTAAAAACGACTGAAGAATCTGTCAAGAACTGGAACAGCGTCTTTTTGTGGTACTTTAATGGTCATTTGAAATTACTGCAAACGAGATGTTAGACAAAAATTGGCAGCAAAGGTGTATTTAATTAAACCGGCGCGAATTTGAAGGTCTTGATAATAGTTGCGGGCCTCCACCATATATCACCAAAGATATAAGGTTATTTATATATAAGGTTATTTACTCCATCAAAGAATCATTTATCTATTTAATTCGTTTTGAATTGCAGATTGATCGGACGTAGAAGGGTTGACGTAAATCTCAAACTTACTTCTTTACAAAACGTGCGGGACCTTTTATTTTCTCGAGAGGGCGAGACGTTTCAAAAAACTTCAAGGTTTTTCAAAACTTTTTTTGAACGAAAGATCGACTACAATAATTATTAGAGTTCTCCTAGAACAAACAATAACCCTCTTCTGAGAAAAATTTTTGCGCAGCAAGAAAATTTTTGGATGAACACAAGCGACATGTTAGGGACTTTTTGAGAAACTTCGACAAAAAAAACCATAAAAACTTTATGCTGGGCTAGCTAAAAATCGATTTACTAAAATAGTAAAATAGTATCAAAAACAACCCTTTCAGCGGTCAGGGGGTCGAGCTTCTGAAGGAAGGAAGGTATGTCCATCCCCGCACCTCTCAATAATCGGCACTGATTGATGTCAAAAACTAGTAACTTTAAAACAAGTTTGCGGTTTGCTAAATTTTAAATTTGAACCAAAAAATGTTAAGTTATGTTAGTTATGAAGTTCTTAGTTCCTTTTATAGATACGAAGAGATTTTTCATTTTGACAAAAATGCAAAGTCTGAGAGTGCAAAATCTCCTAACTATATTAGTACGAATATATATCAAATACTTTTTTAAAACAAATCCGTTGACAGGTTAAATATGGATTTATGAAACCTCAACAGGCTGCTTTTGGATCGTGAATGCTCTCAAGCTCCTGAATACACTATTAAGGCTCAACGAACACAGTCAATGTGTAATTCATCACGATTTATGGAAAACCCCTACGGCCAACATCACCACAAGAATATATTAGTCTGAAAACCAGAAGTTTTTTCTATCATCAGTTTTTTGTTGTGTCAGAATTTTCAAGCAAATTAACTGTTGAGCCAGAATTTTCAAGAAAATTGTTGAGCGAGAGTTTTTAAGCAAATTTTTTGTTTGAAAAATAGTATTTATACTGTTCAAGCCGTTAATCCAGCTGTGTGACATTTGTTCACAACTTTTTCGCACTAATTATTGTGATAGAAAAACGAAAAAACCTGGAAACCAACTTCTGACTCCTAGTTAGTCCAGATATAAAAGTTTTGATTTTGAGAGAAATTCTAATTTCTAAAAAGATTGACCATTTAGCAAACTATTATAAGTAATAAACATTAGAAGGTAAAAACAAAGATTAAAAAACATTGAAAGTAATATAAAAACTCTATTTTGAAATGTGATAACTCTACAAAACATTGTTTCCCAAAATTTTTAAAATAAGCACACCCGGTTTGACCTCCATGCAAGATAAATGTCTTGCATTCATATATAAAAATTGAAGAAAACGTATGAAAAGCAATTTTTCAGTCGAAACTTTTCTTCTTGGATTAAAAGTCTTGGTTTAAAAGTCAAACAAATCTCTTTTTTGGCAATTTTTGTTACATGAGAGCAATATCAAAGAAAAACTTGAACAAAAATTGATAATAAAAAGATTGATATAAGAAACTTTATGATATGCACTTTTCCAATGAAGCAAAAATAAAATTGAGATACAAAAATTTTTCAACTTTTGTTGATTGCAAGGTTGCTTCTGTGTGATAATGTTATCATTATCTTATATGGCTAATATCTTCAAATGAAGTCTAACTGTGTAACAGCTACCCCTTATACTCTAGATTTTTCAGGCTAAAATATACTTGGTTGTTGTGCTAAACAAAACAAGAATTCGATTTGTTTTTGTGAATTTTGGTTCATAGAAAAAGGCTTATCATACTTTTTTTAAGTATGAAAAAATGATTATCAAACAATATCATGGTATAAAAAGTCAGCATTAGCTGTTTTTATACAATGTCAATGATTGAAAGCAATGCATAAATGCTTGTTTTTAACTCCATAGTTCGGCAAAAATTGCTCATTGTGAAATTCATAGCATGAAAAAAAACGTAATTTAACCTTTGCTTGCAATTTTACAGTCCTTTAGTTTGTATGACACCGTATAATAATTTTTTCATAGTGTGATAAGCATTTTTTGATTTTAAGTATTTTAAAAGCATTTTTTGATTTTAAGCAACCGGGATTTTAAGTAAAATTTAGTTGTATGCAATGAAATTAGGCACTAAAAATGTTTGTCTACGGATTGCAGCCACACCTATTTTTTTTATCTAACAAATGACAAATAAACAATAGTGTCTGAACATGGTGTTTTTGCTGTATGAAGCTTTTAAAGAAAGTGTAAAACATCCCTAATATCTTTATAAAAAATGATCACATTGACTTAAATGGATTTTGTTGCTTAAAAAACAAAGTTTTTTACCTTAGAAAAAATTAATCCTCAAAGGCTTTACCTGCACTGACAAACATGGTTTCCGGTCGATTTAAAGTAATTTTAAATTGATTTTAAATTGATCCAAATTGATTAACCATGTATATTTTACGAATTTAATGGATTTTAAATCGATTTAAATCGATCTTTTTGAAAACTTCAAATCGCCTTAAGTGTTTAAAAAATCGATGTTGAAGGGTTGATGAAAACACAAGTTAAATTGAAAGGTGTATTTAATTAAACCGGCGCGAATTTGAAGATCATGATAATAGTTGCGGGCCTCCACCACATATCATCAAAAAATATATATATATATATATTAGGTTATTTGCTCCATCAAAGAATCATTTATCTCTTTAATTCGTTTTGAATTGCAGATTGATTGGACGTAGCAGGGTTGACGTAAATCTCAAACTTACTTCTTTACAAAATCTGCGGGACCTTTTATTTTCTCGAGAGGGCGAGACGTTTCAAAAAACTTCAAGGTTTTTCAAAACTTTTTTTGAACGAAAGATCGACTACAATAATTATTAGAGTTCTCCTAGAACAAACAATAACCCTCTTCTGAGAAAAATTTTTGCGCTGCAAGAAAATTTTTGGATGGACACCAACGACATGTTAGGGACTTTCTGAGAGACTTCGACAAAAAAGCCCCTAAAAACTTTATGCTGGGCTAGCTAAAAATCGATTTACTAAAAGGCTCACTGAATACACTATTAAGGCTCAACGAACAGATTCAATGTGTAATTCATCACGATTAATGGAAAACCCCTACGGGCAACATCACCACAAGAATGTATTAGTCTGAAAACCAGAAGTTTTTTCTATCATCAATTTTTTGTTGAGTAAGAGTTTTCAAGCAAATTAACTGTTGAGCCAGAATTTTCAAGCGAATTGTTGAGCGAGAGTTTTCAAGCAATTTTTTTTTGTTTGAAATATTGTATTTATACGGTTCAAGTCGTTAATCCAGCTGTGTGACATTTGTTCACAACTTTTTCGCATTAATTATTGTGATAGAAAAACGAAAAAACCTGGAAAGGAACTGCTGACTCTTAGTTAGACGAGATATAAAAGTTTAGATTTTGAAAGAAATTCCAATTTCTAAAAAGAGTGACCTTTTAGCAAACTATTATAAGTAATAAATATTAGAAGGTAAAAACAAATTGTGAAAAGTGATAACTCTACAATACATTATTTCCCAAAATTTTTAAAATAAGCACAACCGGTTTGACCTCCATGCAAGATAAATGACTTGCATTCATATATAAAAATTGTAGAAAACGTAAGAAAAGCAATTTTTCAATCGAAACTTTTCTTCTTGGATTAAAAGTCTTGGTTTGAAAGTCAAAGAAATCTCTTTTTTGGCAATTTTTGTTACATGAGAGCAATATCAAAGAAAAACTTGAACAAAAATTGATAATAAAAAGATTGATATAAGAAACTTTATGATATGCACTTTTCCAATGAAGCAAAAATAAAATTGAGATACAAAAATTTTTCAACTTTTGTTGATTGCAAGGTTGCTTCTGTGTGATAATGTTATCATTATCTTATATGGCTAATATCTTCAAATGAAGTCTAACTGTGTAACAGCTACCCCTTATACTCTAGATTTTTCAGGCTAAAATATACTTGGTTGTTGTGCTAAACAAAACAAGAATTCGATTTGTTTTTGTGAATTTTGGTTCATAGAAAAAGGCTTATCATACTTTTTTTAAGTATGAAAAAATGATTATCAAACAATATCATGGTATAAAAAGTCAGCATTAGCTGTTTTTATACAATGTCAATGATTGAAAGCAAAGCATAAATGCTTGTTTTTAACTCCATAGTTCGGCAAAAATTGCTCATTGTGAAATTCATAGCATGAAAAAAACGTAATTTAACCTTTGCTTGCAATTTTACAGTCCTTTAGTTTGTATGACACCGTATAATAATTTTTTCATAGTGTGATAAGCATTTTTTGATTTTAAGTATTTTAAAAGCATTTTTTGATTTTAAGCAACCGGGATTTTAAGTAAAATTTAGTTGTATGCAATGAAATTAGGCACTAAAAATGTTTGTCTACGGATTGCAGCCACACCTATTTTTTTTATCTAACAAATGACAAATGAACAATAGTGTCTGAACATGGTGTTTTTG